AACATTGCTCATAATGATTACAATCTCCAGGGAACTCAGGAGAGTTAAAAAAATTAAATTTCAAAAGTTATTAATAATTATATCCATCCATCTATCCAGGGAGTCCTGGTGTGGTGCTATGGGTTAATGTAATGGCCTGCAAAGTTGGATTGAACTGCAAGGTAGGTGGTTCAAGCTCACCAGCTACTCCTTGGAAACCCTACACAGGGTTGCTGTGGGTTAGAACTCACTCAACAGCACTTAATAACAACATCCATCCATGCTTGTGTGCTTCCTTGTTACAATTTGATACGTACTCCTTCATACTTTTTATGTAAATGTACTCACATGGGGTTTTTTAAACGGACTCAAACAAACCCCGCTGTACTATGATCCTCTGTTACCTAACTATAGATCATGAGCATTTTCTCATCATTAATACAACAAAAAAAATATGAACCATGATGAGGAATATTTATTTTGGGCAGTGCCACTTTTCCAATTACTTGCCATTTTTTTTACTTTGAAAATGCACTGCATTTTTAATAAGAAAATGGAATGTTGTCACTAAACTGAAAAAAAAAAAAAATCAAGATTTGTCAAATAAAATAAAAAACAAACATATGTTTTCTGAGTTAATGCAGGTCTGTTTTGACACCTAGGCAATTTGGCATCTACCAAGAAAGAGGATAAGGAGCTCTGGTAGTGTAGTGGTTACCGAATAGGGCTGCGAACCACTAGGTCAGCAGTTCGAAACTACCAGCTATTCTGCAGGAGAAAGATGAGGCATTCTGCTCCCGTAAAGATTTACAGACTCGGAAACCCTGTACAGGGTCGCTATGAGTCGGAACTGACTCCACGGCACACAGTCACCAAGAAAGAGGACACTGGGGTAATCTGTGTTGAAGACCCCAGTACAAGATTTAACATCCCTTACGCATATAATAACAGCTTCTTACTTAGTATTTCTAGAAAAATTACCCACCTAAGGGGTATTTAAGGAGTTCTGGCAGCACAGTGTTTAAGAGTCGTGCTGATAACCTCAAGGTCAGCAGTTCGAAGGAGAGATGAGGCTTTCTTCTCCCGTAAAGATTTACAGCCTTGGACACCCTATGCAGGGTGGCTATGAGTGGAACCAATTCCACAGCATACCACCACCACCAACCACCAAAGACATTTAGGCTACTGTTGCATCTTATGCATCAAGCATCTGTATTCTTTCTCATTCACAAGCTCAGTCTGCTCCCAAATAGAAGGAAATATATGCTCATACCTGTGTTTCATTGAAATCTTTCACTCCCACACAGTAAACAATTGCACCAAGATCTCGGGACCTGTTAGCCTGGGAAAAGAAAAATTTAAAGTTAGGAGAAAGAAGCAGAGGAAAAAAATATTTCCCTTAGATTTTCCAGACTAAATTTATCAATCAAATTTTTCTTGAGCAACTACCATTTGTGAGGTACCATGATAAAAGGGCAGTTTCTGTTCTTACAGAGTTCATACTCCAGGGAACATCACATTCTAATGGAAGGCATGGAGTGGGAGGTGTTGAAAAAGATCCACAGAAGTAAGTCTTGACAAAAGGAAGGAAAGGGAACCTATAGGCTAAGAGAAGTCATCTTAAATACTTTGGAGAAATGATTACCCTTTC